GGATTTTACTCTGTTCTGTTTACAGTTTAGTATTTAAGGTTTTATAAATGTAAATATATTTTGTATATTTTTCTATGAGAAGCACTTCATAGGGAAAAGCACTTACGACAAGGCTATTTTTAAACAGTGGTATTATCCTAATTTAAAATAATCTGTTTTTAATAATGTTTTTATTTTCATAGGATGGTTATAGGAAATATCTGGCTGGATATAGTCTGATCCTTTCTCCATAGAGAGGGATACTTTTATTTTATGTTTAATCTTGTTCTGCCTTGTTGACTTAAGTAACTGTTTCCTGGAAGCTTTTTGCTGGACCTTAATTATATTGATTTGTCAAGGGGGAGGGCATGGGGAACAATCACCCATCTCAGGAGTTTGACTCAGTGAAACTTTATTTGAATTTGTTAGCATTTTTTTGGTACAGTTTCCCTGCCACTGGGCAGAAAGAAGTATTCTGCCTTGACACATGCCACTGTTGTATTTATAGAAAGGTGAAGGAGAGGAGGTAAGAATTGCTATTTTCACTTTTCCATTAGCTTGTGCAGGGCTCAGAATTAGGAATTTGGCAGGAAATATGATTTTTTTCCCATCCTGCTCGTTCCACTTAAATCTTGCCGAGCAGATATGTCATCCTTAATAACTCACTGATTCTGTCAGGATAGTTAATGAAAGTCAGGGGTCTCTGCATCTCTTGTCAGATCACTTTAATATAAGCCCAGGACTGTGGCTGGTAGAAGGGAAATCAACTTCACATCACTCACCACTATTTCCAATGCAGCTTCTCTGGATAAAGAGCCAGAGTGGATTTTCATTCTGAGAAAATTCTCAACTCTCCAGCCAGAGAAACATGGTCCTGTGGAAAGCAAGCAGAGCAACAGAGCCCCAGCCCTGCCATTGTTCACCATCATCGGTAGGAGCAGGTGTGGGATTTATACCCACAAATGCACTTCTTAGCCCCGAGTGCCTCTCACTTGGAAACATACTTTTTTTCCTTTGAACTGTAAAATCATAATGCTCCCCTACTCCTCTCTTCTGGGCAGGCCTTCTACCATTGGCTGAACTAGCAGAGTGAAAGGCTGCTGTAAAACAGCAGCAACAGCCACCTATGTAAATCGGACAGCAGTGACTAATAACTCTTTAGCGCTCACAGGCTAGCACTATGTATCTGTGCCATTCAACCCCCGAGACCTCTTCCTCTGACCTGAGAATGAAATGTAGCGCTCAGAAGGGTCAGGATTTGCTGTTTCCTTTTTTTTAATTGCACTGTGTGATTATTATTTTGTAAAACTTTTTTAAAGGAAAAAATCCAAGTCAAAGCTGCATGTGTTACTGAAATGATTTGATGCACTGACAGTTTGGAAAGGCATGCACACTGAGAGGCCAGAGAGCACACCTGGAGAAATCTCAGCTCAGCATCCCTAGACACTGCCCCCCTCAGCAATGCTGGGGGACAGTTCCAGTGTTGGACACACTGGTGAATTTGAACTTCAGAAGGTCTAGTTCAATCCTTTCCTCCTTCTCCTCCCACTATGATCCCTTATTCTGACAGAGTCAGCCTCTGCAGCTGACAACAATCCCATTCTTGTCTCTTGCCAACAATCTATGTAGCTATAAGCTATTTGAGAAGCAAAATTGAGTCCTCACCAGAAATCCACACTAAGAGCAAGCTCTGATCAGGAAACACTGCTCCCACAACCCCCTTAGTTAGGGGGAAAAAAACAAGAGGAGGGGGAAAAATAAGCGAAGGAGAAAACAGAAGAGAGATACCACCTGAGTCCCTCTGAGAACCAGGCACTAGAAATTTCCTCTAGCGTGAGGACTGAGAGAGCAAATGGATCAGGTTAGAATTTGGTGGAAGATCCAGCTCACTGAATGCTTTGCTGCTATACCTGATGTGGCTGCCTTAATGAGCAGCCGCTGTGGCCAGTGAAACTGTCTGTAACCCAGAGAAGCTGAATTGTGCTGACATGCAGGCTGGGCCAGGGGTTCCCTTGCTCCCCACTTCCATTGTTCTCATCAGTCTATCTCCAGCACAGAGGTTTTCAGTCACTTACAGTTTTAAACAAATAAAAGGAAGGCGGGGAGAAGCCTTGGCAGCTAGTATTTAAGTTTTCAATGATTCCTCTGTAGGACACAGGCCTATGGGCTCTTTAACCCTGTCCTGCCCAGGCGAGTAGTGAGCACAATGCAGCTTCCTCATATATGAATGTATATTTTATAAGGACTGACATAGATCATGATATCTGAAAATACTAAAAGTCAAACCTTAAGGCATTTATTTTTATTTGTACAAACCAATTTTTTTTAAAGGAAAAGCGGGTCATTGCAAAGGGCTGGGTATAATCTTTCTATTTCATTTTCTTTCATTTCCAAGCAATACCAGGTTCTTCAGCAAGATGGTCTCTGTGCAGAATCATGCCATTCAAATCCATACTACTGGTCCATATTCAACACACTTGCGAGTTTTTTTAATAACTATAAATATGATATATATAGGAACTAATATAGTAATGCACCGTGTAATGAAGCCTAGTTCAGTATCGGTCCATGGCTTTTAATTCTCTTAACACTATAGATAAGGATTGTGTTACAGTTGCTAACAAAGGCAGGAAAAATAATCAAGCTGTGTACTTCTGGGTGAACAAATGTAAACTCAAGGGGGCTTGCTTGGCAGTAGTGCAGAGCACCTCAGCCTGAAGAGTGACAGCATTCACACCCAGGAGCCTGCTGCAGAAATGAAATCGTTAGCCCGTAGTTTCCCTGCTTGAGGATTTTTCTGACCTTCAATGTTACCAGTCAGTACTTGTACAACTTGTTTTTTGTTTTGTTTTTGATTTTTTGGGTTATGAATGTTGGGGTACCACCTGCATATAGGGAAAAATGTGTTCTGTGCTTTCCTGGTATCTTTTTAACAAGGTACTGTAGCTTTGTCTATCAACCAAGAACTATACTTGTGGTGTTTCTTTTATTAAACTTAACAGTCTCTTTAGTAAATACAGGTAGGTGAATAATTGTTCAAAAAAAAAAAAAAGCTCTACAATGGCAAGGTTATGTTCTAGAAATAATACATTTCTTGACAACTTATCATGTATAACAGATCTTTTTATTTCTTTTTTTCTTGTGTTCTTCCAAGCTTCTGGTTTTAAAAAAAAAGGAAATGTCTAAAGTACATCAGTGTTAACTCCCTGACACAGGGACGAAGGAAATACTTTAACAGTTTAAAAAAATGCTGAAAGCTCTGCGAAAGACTGAATGTAAAAATAAAAAAGTGTACATAGTTGTAAAAAACAAAAGGAGTTTTTAAACATGTTTATTTTCTATGCACTTTTTTTTATTTAAGTGATAGTTTAATTAATAAACATGTCAAGTTTATTGCTGCAGAGGGTGACTCTTGATTTACTTTATTTTTAAAAAGCTGGAGAGGAGGAGTTCTGGTGCCAGCATCACTCAGCCCATCATGTGAATCTCCCTTTCTTCAGAGAAGGCACTTGGTATCACGTGTGTTATAGCTCAACAGATGTGTGCTATGAAATAAATGAGTCCCTGCCCCCAAAGGGGATGGTTCTTGACAGGTGACCTCAAAGCAAAAGGGCATTCAGTGATGGCATGGAAGAAAAGTTAGTGTGTGCAGACAGGATAGCAAACTCTATTTGGGAGGTTTGAGAAGGGGTGTTTTGGAGTCTCTTGCAGCAGCATGGCTGTTGTACCAAGGGACACCGGTAGCTAAAAACAAGGCAGTTTCAGAATGGCTCCTGAAAGCTGGGGGGTAATTGAGCACAGGTACTCACAAAGATGATGGCACAGGCAGCAGTACCAATGGAGACCTCTTAAAGAGCAAGGAAGGAGCCTCATCCCTCACAAGTCCATGGTCCCTCATGGACACAGATCAAGTGAAACACCATTTGTGAGAGTCACCCAGGAGCTAA